CCTGTAAAACCCTTATTTCCTTGTCGATCTTTTGTTTAGATGATCTGTGCATTTCAGTGAGGGGGTGTTAACGTCCCCTACTATTATTGTATTATTGTTGATGTGCTTCTTTGATTTAGTTATTAATTGGTTTATATAATTGGCTGCTCCCACGTTAGGGGCATAGATATTTAAAACTGTTAGATCTTCTTGTTGGACAGACCCTTTAAGTATGATGTAGAGTCCTTCCTCATCTCTTATTATAGTCTTTGGCTAAAAATCTAATTTATCTGATGTAAGGATTGCCACCCCAGCTTTGCTTTCTTTTGATGTCATTAGCATAGTAAATTTTTTCCACCTCCTCACTTTAAATCTGGAGGTGTCTTTGGGTCTAAAATGAGTTTCTTGTAGATAGCATATCGATGGGTCTTGTTTTTTTTAATCCATTCTGATACCCTATGTCTTTTGATTGGGGTATTTAGCCCATTTACATTCAGGGTAACTATAGAAAGATATGAATTTAGTGCCATTGTATTTCCTGTAAGGTGCCTGTTACTGTGTATTGTCTCTGTTCCTTTCTGGCCTATTTCTTTCAGGCTCTCTCTTTGCTTAGAGGACTCCTTTCAATATTTCCTGTAGGGCTGGTTTGGTGTTTGCAAATTCTTTTAGTTTTTGTTTGTCCTGGAAACTTTTTATTAAAAATTTAATTTTATTTTTTCAGTGTTCCAAGATTCATTGTTTATGCACCACACCCAGTGCTCCATGCAATATGTGCCCTCCTTAATACCCACCCATTCCCCTACCTCACAGCCTTCCGAAACCCTCAGTTTGTTTCTCAGAGTCCACAGTCTCGCATGGTTCATCTTCCCCTCTGATTTCCCCCAATTCACTTTTCCCTTCCTTCTCCTAATGTCCTCCATGTTATTCCTTATACTCCAGAAGGAAGTGAAACCAAATGATAACTGACTTTCTCTGCTTGACTTATTTCATCCAGCATCATTTCCTCAGGTCTTGTCCATGTTGATACAAAAGTTGGGTATTCATCCTTTTTGATGTAGGCATAGTATTCCATTGTCTATATTGACCATATCTTCTTTACCCATTCATCTGTTGGAAGGCATCTTGGCTCTTTCCACAGTTTGGCAATTGTGCCCACTGCTGCTATGAACATTGGGGTACATATGGCTCTTTTTTTCACTACATCTGTATCTTTGGGGTAAATACTGACCTGGAAGCTTTTTATCTCTTCTTCTATTTTCAATGACAGCCTAGATGGATATAGTATTGTTGGGTGCATATTTCTCTTGTTTAGTTCTCTGAATATACCATGCCAGTCCTTTCTGGACTACCAAGTCTCTGTGGATAGGTCTGCTGCCAATCTAATATTTGTACTGTTGTATGTAAAGACCTCTTGTCCTGAGCTGCTTTCAGGATTTTCTCTTTGTCTCTGAGACTTTAAGTTTTACTATTAGATGATGGGGTGTTGACCTATTTTTATTGATTATGAGGGGGATTCTCTGTGCCTCCTGGATTTTGATGCCTGTTTCTTTCCCCAAATTAGAGAAATTCCCTGCTATAATTTGCTCCAATATACTTTCTGCTCCCTCTCTCTTTCTTCTTCTTCTGGGACCCCAATTATCCTAATATTGTTTTGTCTTATGGTATCACTTATCTCTAGAATTCTCCTCTCGTGATCCAGTAGTTGTTTATCTTTTTCTCAGTTTCTTTATTCTCTATCATTTGGTCTTCTATATCACTAGTCTCTCTTCTGCCTCATTTATCCTAGTAGTAGGAGCCTCCATTTTTGTTTGCACCTCATTAATAGCTTTTTTGATTTCAAATTGGTTAGATTTTAGTTCTCTTATTTCTCCAAAAGGGGATTTTGTTTCTCCAGAAAGGGATTCTCTAGTATGTTCCATGATTATTTCGAGCCCAGCTAGCACCCTGACAATCATCATTCTGAACTCTAGTTCTGGCATCTCACTAATGTCTGTATTGATTAGGTCTCTAGCTGTCAATACTGCCTCTTGTTCTTTTTTCTGAGGTGAGTTTTTCTGCCTTGTTATTTTATCCAGATAAGAATAGATGAATGAGAGAACAAAATACAGAAAGGGTAGCAACAACCCCAGAAAAATATACACTAACCAAATTGGAAGAGACCTGAAACTAGGGGGAGAAGAAAGGAGGAAAAAAAATATCTATATCTATATATTAGACTGATGAATAGAACAGAGCCACACACTTGATTTTGGGTGTATTTTGGTCTGTTAGAAGAAACTGCTTCCCAAAGTATTAAGGAAAAAAAACCACACACACACACACACACACACACGTATATATATATGTATATACACATATATACATATACACACACACACACAAATAAGGGTAAACACAATGAAGGGATGGAATATGAATGTAAAGATGAAAATTAAAAAAGATTTTTAAAAAGGAATTGATAAGAAGTTGCTTGAAAAAAGAAAAAAAGAGGAAAGAATGTGATCAGGCTGAGACTAGAACAAAGCCATGCACTAGATTTAGGGTATATTTTGATATGTTAGCAGAAACTGTATCCTGAAATTTTAAAGAAAGAGAAACCTATATGTATATAAAAAATAAGGTTAGGGGCACCTGGGTGGCTCAGTGGGTTAAAGCCTCTGCCTTTGGCTCAGATCATGATCCCAGGGTCCTGGGATCAAGCCCCACATGGGGCTTTCTGCTTGGCGGGTAGACTGCTTCCTCCTCTCTCTCTCTGCCTGCCTCTCCGCCTACTTGTGATCTCTTTCAAATAAATAAATAAAATCTTTAAAAAATTTTTTAAATTAAAAAAATAAGGTTAAATACAATGAAGGGATAGAAACAATGAAAATTTAAAAAGATTTTTTTAAAAAAGGTATTGGTAAGATAAAATAGTTTAAAAAGATTAAAATAGGAAAGAGGAAAAAATTTTAAAATAGAATAAGAAAAAAAATTTAACTTTGAAAGACTAAAGAATCATGGGAAAAAAGCCATACATTTTAGGTGATGCTTTCCCCAGCTCTGGAGTTCTGCAGTTCTCATTGATCGATGAACTTGGTCTTGGCTGGTTGTTCTTGTTGATCTTCTGGGAGAGGGGCCTGTTGCAGTGATGCTCAAATGTCTTTACCTGAGGCAGAATTGCACCACCCTTGCCAGGGGCCAGGCTAAGTAATCTGTTTGGGTTTGCTCTCGGGAGCTTTTGTCCCCTGAATGCTTTCCGTACTGGTTTGGAGGACAGGAATGAAAATGGCGGCCTCCCAATCTCCGGCCCTGGAGAGGCTGAGAGCTCAGGGCCCCACTCCTAATTGTGCCCACGGAGAAAAGCAGTCAGTCCCTCCTATTTCCCTGGTCTCCAGCAGCACTCTGAGTTCACCCGACCTGTGACCAAGTGTTTCTATATCTGGCCCAGCCACGTTTGGAGTCTCCAAACCCAGCTGTTTCCTGCAGCACACTCCACGCCGCTCTAAGAGCAGTGGCCCAGCTGTGCCTTGGATCACGTTTAAGGTAACCCAAGCTGAGAGCCCACCCCTTGGCTCTGTCTCTGTAGCCAGCTTCCCCACTCTGATACCTGGGAGCTCTGCTGCACTCAGACACCCCTGGTCTTTCTGTGACCCTGCAGGTCCTGAGACCACACTGTCCCCTCAAGGGCTCCACGCCCCACTTAGCCTCTGGAGCAATGTCCATCTGTGGAGCGGACTTCTTGAAGTTCTGATTTTGTGCTTCACTGCTCTACCCCTTGCCGGGAGCCGGCCCCTACCCCCACCACAGTTAATCTTCCCAAATGTTGCCTTGGATTCACTTCTCTGCACGTCCTACCTTCCAGAAAGTGGTCACTTTTCTGTTCCAAGAATTGCTGCTCTTCTCTTCAATCTCCTGTTGAGTTTGTAGGTGTTCAGATTTGATAACTATCTAGCTGAATTCCTGGGACCCAACCATATTTAGGTTTCCTACTCCTTTGCCATCTTGCTCTTAATCTCTGCCCCCTGTCTTTACTTGGTTCAAAGGTTCATGTCTTTTTGGTGCTGAAGAATATTCCATTGTCTGGCTGAGCCACAGTTCACTTGTCTATTCATCTGCTAAAGGAGATATTGGCTGCTTCCACATTTTGGCTGTCATGAACAAAGGTACTATAAACTATGTGCAGGTTTCATATGGACAGAAGTGTTGTTCTCTCTTGTTTTGTTGAATAATGAGTGAAATGGATACTTTTTACAATATACTAAGTAAAATGGACAGTAGTGATATGGATAGCATGACATATGCACATGGGTGTATATTTGTCTTAAAAGGCCATATTTTAAGATGTTAGGCACCTATTTTTTTCTGGATTTATATAGGTAATTTTTTTATGTTCCAAGTTTTGTTACAATAATATCTTACATTTTCTATTTCAAACAAATTATTCTTTTTATCATGGGACTAACTCCCTCCAATAAATGGCTTCATAGTCAGCACCCCGGTGTTACCAAAAAAAAAAAAAAGATGATCTACATGGATAATATGCTTAATTTTTAGGAGCAGAAGGCTTTCTTCCGATGAGGTCCTGCCCAGAATTCAATATATAAAAAAAGAAAAGTGGCCTTGTGACAGAATGCCTCAGTGTGCTGTAAACTTACGTGTCTCTGGGAGCCCTAGGGCATGATGGACAGTTTTAGAACCACATCCTACCTCATCTGCCTCACCTGCTTTAAAATTGAGACACTTAGGTTTAAGCCAGTGCCTTTTGCTTTAGGATGGAACTTGGAATCTGTGCCAGTGACATGTCCAGAGAGAGCCTACATACTCTCCCCAGCAGAAGACTCTGGGGACAGGTGTATCAATACAAAATCTCTTCGTTTGAGTGTGTGTATTGTCTTCACGACTCTGCCTTACTAATTCTAATTACCATTTAATTCATTCCTCTGAGTGCCAGCTGAGCACCAGCTTTCTGTCCCCACAGCTCTCAGTCCCTGCCGCACAGCAGTTACCATGGTAATAGAGTCACTCAACCATCACCCAAATACCTGCGTCGTGGTTTTGTGTTCTCCGTTTTGCGTAACTCTACACCTTAGTGAGTTATTTCCTGACGTTTTCTGGCTCTCACCAAAGTCGTCTTCATTCTAAGAAAAAAGCATAAATTGCAAAAATACAATTTCAGAACCAAAAAACCCCAATGTTCTCTCAAGAAACAGGACCTAGAAGACTTTCGAAGGATGGGGTGGCAGAGATGTGCTCAGATGCATCAGCTGAATAAAGAAAGAACCAGTGAATCTTGGGCTCATAAAGAAACAGACGATTTCTGTTTTGCTCTGCTCTGCTAGAAGGAATGGTGTGGTCCAACTTGAAAACGAGAGAGAGGAGGACCAGGTGTCTGCATATAAGTCATGCCACTTTATAATAAGAGTTGAGACTAAGGTATGTCACATAACATAGGCCTCCAATGTATAAAATAAAGCAAAATGCAGGGCAGATAATTTTCTTCTTAGACGTTGGAATTTTGAAATGCTAAAATGTGCTTTGTTTAGTTTAAAGCAATCTCTGGTAGTAATGAGAATCAGAAAGAGAATAAGAAAAATGCCTTCTTTTGTCAAGCTGTCGTGATTTTACCTTAAGGAAGTGAGTAAGCTGTGTTCTTGGAGGCATGTCCTCACCCCTGAGCTGCTGCTTTGAGATGTGATGGACATTTGGTTCACTTCTCCCTTACCTTTTCTGAGGGGGAATCCAATCTTTCTCCTATCTCATCCCGATTCGCCTTCCTCAGGCACTTCATTCCAAGTAAGGCAACAAGATAGATAAACCATGTCAGGTAGGTCCCTTTAGCTCTTTAGGAAATGTCCTCTGCTAGGCCTGTGACCTTGCCTTTGAAAGAACACGTGTATGACTTTGATTTTAACTTTGGCTCTCTGGCTGGCTCCAAAAAGCTATAAAAGAATGACAGTCCTGAGTTGGGTTGCATTTTCCATCTATTGAAACCCAAGAGTGTATAAAGCATGAATAAAATCTAACTGCCGCATTGATTTATGCACGGAACGGTTGCTGCCACACTGCCCGTTGTGTTATGGCTGTATATCTTACTTTAGCACAGTCTCCACACATAGGAGACGCTAACAAGTCTTTTTCGTTGAGTGAACCGCAGTGATTTTAGTGTTGCATTAATGGGTGCGGCCATGTGTACATCTGAGTATTTGGTAGCAAATACAATAGGGGGCGCTGTATACCGCGGGGAAAGATGACAAAGTGTTGCTCATTACAGAAGCCGGCTGGTGGGCACTTAGGGACTCATTTTATGATTCTCACTTTCACAGACACTGAAAATTTCCTTAACAAAAAGTTAAAAAAACAGCATGAGTTGGTGGAAATACAAGACACAGGTAGAGGAGGGTGCTGGTCTTCGGGGCCCCTAATTACATGTGTGATGCTGGGTCGGTCACATCTGCGCAGCCTCAGTCTACCCATCTGTACCCCAGTTTCGACTGGGTGTTCTTGTGATCTCTTCCAGAATCCTGACGTTTTTCTGGCTGCGGGAGGGGCAGACCGACCCTCGGGGTAATTCCTGCTAATTCTTGATTACTCCTGCCACCTGGTGGCAGAATCTGAAACTTACGGCGCACAAGGAAGGGGCCTGCCTTTTTCAAGTTCAGGCAAGAAGGGGTGTGTGTGTGTGTGTGTGTGTGTGTGTGTGTGTGTGTGTGTGTTTGGGGGTAGGGTAGAGTAGGCCTAAGTGGTGACAAGGGCACCTCTGGACGTATTTTGTAACATGTAATGGGATTGTTTTACCCCCTAGTGGAGTGTAGGCCTTGGCTTTTTAACATGTCCAGAAGTGTCTTCCATTGGAGGATTTCCAACGGGAATAATGGGGGCGCTGTGTGTGTAGACTGGTGCTGGAAAAATAACCCTTGAGACATTGCTTGGCTTTGTTTTATTCCCTCTTTTCAAATTGGAGTCCGAGGGCCTGAATGGGTGGTCCATAATGACTCCTTAGCTACTTGTTTCTTTACATCTACTTAGCAATTCAGATTAAGTAGATACATTCCTACAGAAGACTACATACCTTAGGACACTGTGCTACAACCAATATTGTATTCTGCGTGCAAGCTTGTCACTCCACTGAGCGGGTGACAACGTTGCGATGCTGTGTATGAGTATTTCTAAGCAGCTGACAGCACGGTACTTAATTTCTCTAGTTAGTGTTATTTGCTGAGTGTACTCAATTCTGGCCTGAGATTCTCTGAAGGGCAGATCCTTGAGCCTGGAGTCCTTTGTGCCTGGGTTTTGACCCCATATTTTCCATACGTCCCCAGTGAGTATTGCAGAGAGTACAGATGGACAAAGGTTTTCTTTTCTTTTTAAATTATTATTAATTTACTCCTTTCATCCAGTTTCTAAACACAACTTCTAAAACCTGAGAAATTACTGAAACCACCCCCCATCTATTTATGGTTTTTCCCTTCTCTAGAATTGTAGCTGAACAGATAGCCACCTTGAAAAGAGGCTACATTTCCACTTATAGCTAAATTCTGGCCAATCAAAATATAAATAGATGTGGAGTCCTGAGTAGGGCAGCTCGGGAATAATCCTTAAGGGATGGCTGGCAGGTGTTCCTTTCCCCTTTCATTTTTCCCTACGTCCTGCTGCTTTGTGTGTGGACGGTTACAGCCGGGCCATGAACGCCAGGGCCCCATCCTGGGGACGCCAGAGTGGGAAGTTGCAGAGTACTTGGGGCTCTGCAAACCTTGAGCAATGCTTCCACTCCAGTTCTGTACTCCCTACGTCCTACTTTTATCTGCGGGAAATAAGCTTCTCCCTTGTTACTTTTGGCTTTTGGGTTTTTTTGCACCTGCTTCGATATAATATGTAGTAGGTACAGGACACATAAACTCTTTAATGGACACAGTTCTAGATCCAGTAAGAAAAATCAGAGGAAGGTTTGTAATGATAAGATTTATAAAAATAAATTGAAGCCTGAATGTACTCAAAGAACATGGTTTCCATGATTTTCTTGGAGAAAAGATTAGAGGAACAGCCAAACAAAAGATTAATGAGAAATTATGGCAAAAAGAATGATAGTATGTTTTGAATCTATTTAATAAATTAAAACCTTAATCTAGAGATTAAGATTCCAGAACAAATTTTAATATTTTAACCCCTGACAATGTAGAAAAATACTCAGAAAACTTGCTTGAAGGAGAAGGGAAGGAAAAAGTAGAAGTTAGGGTGAGTATGCCAATTTTCTTATCTTTTAATTCTGGGAACCGAAAGAGATGATAAGCAGCAGTGTTTAAGGGAGAAAGGTAAATGCTTAAATATATATTCAGCTAAAATCAAGTGATGAAAGAGAAGGAAAGAAAATAAAAGAAGTTAGAAAATATATTAATTTCTTGATTACTTATAATCTTAAGCTCGTTATAAAAGGAATCATTAAAAGAAAAAATAAGTCTTCAGAAGAAACCAAACAAAAATAAAAAAACACAAACATACACTGAAAAGATTTTTACAAAGCATAAGATCAATTATGCTGAGAGGAACTAAGAACAAATAAACCCATCTGGCAGATCAATAGGTTTGACTGAATTAGAGGGAATAACAAATAAACACAGCCATATCCCGTGATGTCTTTCAAATTTATGATGTTGTGAAAGTATTATGCACTTAGCATAAACTGTACTTTGAATTTTGAATTTTGACCTCTTCTTGGGCTAGTGATATGGAGTATGATCCTTGCCTGTGATGCTGGGCCTTGCCTGGTCCGCCATGAGATCACTAGGGTCAACAACTGATATGCTTAACTGATATGCTCAACAACTGATATGCTTAACTGATATGCTCAACAACTGATATGTTCTCTACCCATGCAACCACTGTTTTTCACTTTACAGTATTCAGTATGTTACATGAGATATTCGACACTTTGTTGTACAATAGGATTTGTGTTAGAAGATTTTGCCCAACTGTAGGCTAATGTAGGTGTTCTGAGCACATTTAAGGTAGGCTAGGCTAAGCTATAATGTTTGGTAGATTAGGTATATGAAATACATTCTTGACATACAATGCTTTCAACTCATGATTGGTTTATTGAGGCATAACCCCATTGTAAATTGAGGAGGATCTGTACTGGAAATGACTCAGTGACTCAGAAAGATATAACATGCAATGTCTATGATCTTAACTGACCAAGTCTGAATACAGGATTAAAAAAAGCAATTAACATGTTCCAAGAGAAACAATGATCAGAGTATAATCTCACACTCTGAGAAGCATGACTCTCTGTGTACAAATGGCATAGATTAATGTAGAGGAAACTGAAGGAGAAATACCTAGAAACACATCTAGAAAGAGGTTGATAGAACTCTTTCAGTCTATGACAGATCAAATGGGCAAAAGTAAGGATAAGGAAGACCCAAACAATAAATAATATGATACGATTAACACCCGTTGAATTCTATAACCTCAGTAGGAAATATTACCAAGACTGTTAGTTGTCCCTAATACCTGTTCTCTATTTCCTGTTTTCCCCCCTTCTTTTTAAAGAGAGAGAGAGAGAGCAGGGGGGAGGGGCAGCAGGAGAGAAAGAGAAAATCCCAAGCAGACTCCACACTCAGCAGGAAGCCCGACATAGGGCTTGATATCATGACCTGAACCAAAATCAAGAGTAGGACAGTCAACCAGCTGAGGCATCCAGGTGCCCCTTCTCTATTTCCTTTAAATATAGGGCTCTGAATTTTAGTGGGGCCCAAGATTTCCCAGAATAAAGTTGCATTTCTAACCTCCCTGTGGCTATAATTAAATTCTGCCACTGTGATTGAAGCTACGTGCAACTTCGGGGAAGTGTCCCAAACCAGGACAGTGGCTGCAGCCTATGGGCTCCTTCAGAATGTTTTAAAATACAGCTAAGCAGGGTTGGACCTGGTTAGTACTTGGATGGGAGAATTTTTTTTTTAATATTTTATAAACATATAATATATTTTTATCCCCAGGGGTACAGGTCTGTGAATCGCCAGGTTTACACACTTCACAGCACTCACCATAGCACATACCCTCCCCAATGTCCATTACCTCACCACCCTTCTCCCAACCCCCCATAAGTGACTCTTAATCTCACAAAACAAACTGAGGGTTGCTG